AAAAAAAAAAAAAAGAAAGAAAATAACTATACTAGGACATTTATAAAATACAGTTTAGAAAACTAGAACTCTGGCTTCATTGAACAGGTGATAATCAGTTTCACTTTGGATGAGTATAGAGGAGTCTCTACCAGTAAAGAAAAAAAAAAGAGTAAGGAAGGCATTAAAAACAGCTCTATGACCCTAAAATTGACAACTTAGATGAAATGGACCAATTCTTTGAAAGGCATAATAATCTACCAAAATTCACACAAGTAGGAACAGATAATCTGAATAAGACTACATCTGTTAAGGAAATGATATCAATAATAAATAACTTTTTAAAAAAGAAGCACCAGGCATAGATGATTTCACTGGCGAATTCTACCAAATATTTAAGGAAGAAGTGATAACAATTCTCTATAATCTCTTCCAGAAAATAGAAGGAGAGGCAACACTTCTAACTCATTCTATCAGGACAGTATTACCCTAACACTAAAAATATACAAAGACATTACCAGAAGGGAAAACTACAGAAAATATTTCTCAGGAACATAAAAATCCTCAACAAAATAGTAGCCAATCAAATCCAACAAAGTGTAAAAAAATTGTACACCATGACCAAGTAGGATTCATTCTAGGTATGCAAGGCTGGTTTAACATTCAAAGATCAATTAACATAATTCATCACATCAACGGGCTAAAGAAGAAAAATAATGTGTTCATATCACCATACGGAGAAAAAGCATTTGACAAAATCCAACAATCATTCATGATAAAACATCTGCAAGCTAGAAATAGAGAGGGAACTTCCTCAATTTGATAAAGAATGTCTACAAAATACCTATAACTAACATCGTATTTAATGGTGAGAAACTAGATACTTTCCCACTAAGATCAGAAACAAGACCAGGATGTCCCTTCTCACCACTCCTTGTCAATATTGTACTGGAAGTCCTAGTTAATCCAGTAAAATAAGAAAAGGAGGCCGGGCGCGGTGGCTCACACCTGTAATCCTAGCACTCTGGGAGGCCGAGGCAGGTGGATCGTTTGAACTCAGGAGTTCGAAACCAGCCTGAGCAAGAGCGAGACCCCGTCTCTACTAAAAATAGAAAGAAATTATCTGGACAACTAAAAATACATAGAAAAAATTAGCCGGGCATGGTGGCGCATGCCTGTAGTCCCAGCTACTCAGGAGGCTGAGGCAGAAGGATTGCTTGAG